ATGCTATTTTAAAATAATAATAATCTCCTGGCTACTTAAATTGAGTTGTGTATTCATTGAAATGACGATTAAAAACACAAGCAATATCACTGAATTTTGACCAGGCTCTCGGAATTAAAACCCAGTTTGCTTATCAACATATCAGGCTTGACTTACATGTAATTGTAATAACCTATAAAGGCATTAAAATTAAAATTCAAAGAAACTACAAGCCTGTTTAATCATCAAGAATGATGTGGATCTAATTTTTTCAGTCTTGTAGACCATAAACAATAAAATTCACACTTTTCTCACAACTTCCAGTTTAAGAATTTAATAAGTTTATAGACCATAGTTGGAATTCTTTACTGATAAATTCAAATAACTATTCTAACTAGAATATATATATTCAAGATGATCAAATAAAGCAAAAAAAAATTTAATATGTAATTACAATAAACTAAACTAAATATTAAGATATTAAATAGAATAAGAGCATATGCATATTGTTAATCAAGAAATACTTCCAAGAGCGGTGGCAAATGTAGCTGCGTTTTAGCATTCAGACATTCACTGGAAGCTTTCTACTTGAATATTTCCATTACAGAAGGGATGGAAATATTTTTGTGCGCAAACCTGTATATTCAATGATTAAGCAGTTTTCTTTCCTAAGAACTTTGTTAGAAAACATTCCTAGAAAACAAAACAAAGCTGCACAATCATTCAAAATGTTTTACAATTTCTTATAACAGTCTTAATTACTTTGTTTTGTACTGTTCCATTTTAAGTTGTTTTGTTTATTAATATTTTTGAATGATTTTTAACTTGATAATTTGTTTGTTCTATTTGTATTCTGTACTCTAAATGATTTATTACAAATAAAAAAATTCACCCAGTGGCTGAATGGATAAAACCACCAAACACTGGTAATTGTTGTAGGTCAGGGGTCGCCAAAGTGGTCAATGCAACATCATTGGGGGGGTTGATGCGGCTAAGGGGTCACAACCTTTTTCTTTTTTTTTTGCTTATACAGAGACCACAACGTTTTTTTCTGCTCATACACATACACTTGTAATAAAACTTTACGGTGGGGGTCAATGTAAGGCTTTGGAAAGTGGTTGGGGGTCGATGGTTAAAAAAGTTTGGCGACCCCTGTTGTAGGTTCATGTCTTGCCAACAAGCTGACCATGTGGAGTTTTTCAGGTTTTTTCTCCATGTTTGTAATGCCAAAGAGGAGCCAGTTTTCCATAAAATTCCTCCGAGAGGCATTCCTCCTTAGCAGATTGACCACGTGTCTAATTGCCGTAACCAAATAAACTAAACAGAATAAAAAGTACAGTACATAAATCCATAAAAACAATTGTTTGCTTCTTATTTCCTAAACTTTTTATTGAGAATATTTTGAAATAACAAAACAGTATAAAAAAAATTATTAACAATAATTTAAAAACAGTACATATTTAGGCTTCAAACTATTAATTCTGAACTTATAATATGATTTTTGATATTATTATAGATTTTTTTGTAAGTAGAAAATGAATTTGATGAAGTAAAAAATTAATTAAGCATAAATGCCAGATGAATTTAAAAATCATTAATATGTAAATGTACATATCTGATGAGGCAGCTAAGTCAACATTCTAGAAGCCCACGAAGGCCGAAAGAGGTTTGCGTCAAGTTTGAATTATGCAACTCTACTTACTCAGTTTGTTACCTTTTACAAAATTTAATTTTTGAATTTGCGGCCAATGACTTTCCAAGCATTTTGTAAATATTTAAGATTTAACATATGCTTTATGTGGTAATCAGAATATAGAGAGAAAAAGTAACATGAAAGTAAAATAAAATTGCATATTTTTACATTTCTGTATAAGTAAATCTGTTAAAATCAATTAATAATATTTTTAAAATGGTACTTAATAATAAAACTGATTTTTTATCACCACCATCTGTCATTACAGTAGAACCTCCATTATCCGGACCTCCATTATCCGGATTTTCGATTATCCGGATTGTCCAAAATAAACAAAAATTTTACGAATTTGCTGATTTGCACTTGGCGAATTACGACACTGTTTATGTACAGTACATGATGGAATGCATAACTTTTTTTGTTTCAACAACGTCTCACCCAGCACAGTGGTCGTAAACTCTTAAATATATTTTACGTCGTAATAAAAATATAACTTGACAAACGTATTTATAAATAATTTATATTCAAATTAAATCATTTCTATGACCAAGGGCGGCGTAAGGCATGGACGACGTGGGCCACCGCCTATGCCTCGCGGTCCGAAGGGCCTCGCGTTTCGAAGGTTTATGCATTACTTAAAAGCCGCGAACGCGACGAAAATATTTTACTCGTCATAAAATGATAGTTTGTCAAATTTTTATTCATAAAAATGCAGTTTCAACTGCTTTTTATTTTATAAAATCCTTATTCTTGAGCCGCCAGAGGGCCTTTTAAACAATAGGTAGTCTGTTAGCGTTGGTCAGTAGTAGTACAAATTCAATACGAACGTTTGTTTCTTGAAAATCTGATCACGATTTAAATACAGTATTTACTTTTAATATTACCGATATGTCATCGAAAAGAAAACGTATTGTATTATCATTAAAAGACAAATTAAAGTATTTTTTCGATTATCCGGATTTTTCCTTATCCGGACTACCTTCATCCCCAATTAGTCCGGATAATAGAGGTTCTACTGTACTTTCTATATTTGTAAAGCAATTTTTGTTTTAATTAAACTGCTTTCAGGTCCAATTAATTATTTTTTTTTAATTCTATTATTCATTCAAAATAATGTTTAAATTGAATTTTAGATGCAATTTAGTGCTGTTTTAATATGCTGGGTCTTCCAAAATGAATGCTACCATTTTAAACTACTGTAATTATACTAATTATTATCTGAGAAGCTGTACACCAATCAATAGAGTAACCGTCAGAGTTTCATCTCCCATCCGCATCCAAACATCATCTTGTCTGCAACTTCTAGGAAGTTCCGTAAATGAAAATGGCAAATTCGCAATGGAGAAGGCATTTTGCATTCTGCAGTTTGCAAAGTTGGAATTGCTCATCATTGTGCAACATGATAATCTGCGGAAGACATAGAATTTTGGCTGCTGTGGGAGGAATAATGATGGACGTGTTGTAGCAAGCATAGGAAGAATTAGAGTATCGGTAAAATGTGTGCCGTGTGACATGAAGTGCACATGTTGAGAAATTGTAACAGGCAAACACGAAACTTGGATGGTTTTCCAATGTTTTAGTGTACATTACAACATTCTTGGATAATAATTAATATAATTACAATAATTTAAAATGGTAGCATTCTTTCTGGAAGACCCTGTATTTTAATAAAATAAAAAAAACAAAAAACATGCATTATCAATAAATATTTCTGTACTTCATCAACATCTATTAAAGTATTTTCTGCATATATTACAATTTAAAGTACACGTTATATTATTCTAATATGAAAATTTTTGAATTGAAATGATTTTAAAGATAGCAATAATTACTAATTGCAAAATATATTGAATTTGAATAACATCACATTACTATAGGGTTTATGCAAGCAATTTACATTAAAATAAACTTGATGGCAATCAAAATATTTATTAAGAAAAACAGTACAATGCTAAATTAATGAAAAGAGTCCGATATTTATTTGAGATTAAACACTTTTTGGAACCAAACGTCCCATTGTCATATCATTGTATTATTCTCCTTGCTTCCTATGGTATCATGCAATCTGCTTAAATATTTATTAATCTTTACATTAGAAAGCTTTTATATTAATCTAACAATCCTAATGTCTACCATACCACTAAGTGTGGATTAATACTCATCACTGTAGTGAATACTTTATGTGTATCTTTCAATTCAATTTTTTTAATCAAAAATTTTGATCTATAATTTAATAGACGTAGGCTAAAGAAGTATTAGAAATTAGTTGTTAGAGTTTAAGACAGAGAAAAATTAGATAATAATAATAATAATAATAATAATATAGAATGGAAAGCTAAAACATCAAAATCTATCCTTTATAAAGGAGAAAAGAATGAGGATGATGTAATATAAATTTGTATAACTTAAGTTCTTTGATTTTATATTTAAAGAGAACAACAACAATCTGATCATTTTTTTATTTTATTATTTATGCCTATTTTCTAATCATAAAAAAAAGTAGTTGTAATTGAAAATTAAATTCTTAAATAACAAAACACGCATACATGAGTGTTGTGTGAAAGCAACCATGCTACGTTTTCTTGCATAATTTCAAATTTATGAAAGTTTTTATAAAGATTTTTATTACAATTTCTAATTATTAAAATAATTGAACTGATTTTTTTTAAAATCTAATTCACAATTTATTTCATTATTTATTTAATTAAAACAGGTTTTGTTGTTAAGATCTTTATAACAGAGGCTAAAAATACACTGTTTGGTAATTACTATGCATGCTGTGGAGTGTCAGTTTAGAAAGTTACTCCATAGAATAATAATCACTTTCATTTTCCGGTTGGTCAATACTTATTTTCGCATCTTCCTAAAATGCTTATCAAAACCATAAATTATATGCCACAGTACATTACTATATAGTACATTAGCATTGCCGAGACGAGAAAAATGCAATTAAATATATCAGAATAAAAATGTTTATCATCCTATGGTGCAACTCCTTGGCACTGAATTGTATCAGACAGAATATTTAAACAGCAATAATTTAAAACGTGCATATAACATATAGAAATATTGCTCTTTTCAAGGGAAATTTATATGTTAATTCAAGTTTCTAAAGTTTAAAAAATTATAACTTGATTAAAAGTAAAATTCACATTACTTTATACTGATTTAAAGATGCTAAAATCTTAATTTAAAGCAATGAATTTATATATTGAATAATCAGAAATCTATTACATTTAAAGATAAAAAATAGCATCATTAAATAGAGTCGTCTTTCAATATTTACCTAAATCATTAACTTTTAAAGAATAAAATTATTATATCGTACTTGATTTCCAAGTTTAATTGTTATCGGCGAAGGATTTTTCTTCTCTTGGTGAGTTGTGACCGAACCGAATGTCCTGGAGAAGCCCATAGAGATTTTGTGCTTTTTAATCCCTGCTCCATTACTGCCGCCCCCTCCGGAATCTTCGTCCTTGTCTAATTTTCTCTTCTCTGTGTCGGATGTCGAAGTCACGGATCCGATTTTCACCTCATCTTCGGAAGTCTTCTGTAGGATCTCTTTGTTATTTTCTAAGCCTAGGTCAAGGTTAAACACACTGGCAAGTTTGAAATATACTGTAATTAATTTCATTTCCAAAATGTATATGCTAATTAACTTAAATTTTATCAAGTGACAATTTCCATGTTCTATATGTACATCTCACTGGACTAATTTAGAATCCTGAAAAGCTTTGTTGTTACTTTAAAATAATGGTAAGTCTGAATTAGTAGATTATTTGAATTAAAAAAATATTTTATTTTAACTTCATAATACAGGGTGTCTGAAAAGTTACTATTCAGTGAAAAGGTCTAAGTTAAGTTTTAATAAAAGTGACGTTTTACATATGAGATTACAGTTTCTCCTACAGCAAATACCGAAAAGTCCCCCAGAAACCCCAAAATCTGGGAGGAATGAGGTCTAGAAACCTTGTGGGCCAGATACTGTAGCAAATTATGCAATCAGAAAGAAGTCTTCCAAGAAACTGTAGTCCAAAAACCAGAATTTCTGTGCAGCCTACCTCAACGTGGAACATAAAACTTACATGTCTCATAAAACATTATATGTATAACTTTAATGTCATTTCAAATTTCTCACTGCACAGTCACTTTTCAGACACCCCATATATTAACTTATGAGAGACCAAATTCAACAACTAACATACTTTATAAAATCATTCAATCATATTGGAAACCTGTTCAGGATCTACGAGCCACCATAATTACTCAACTGAATTAATCGATGTATCTTTAACAGTGAGCAAATTTTAAAGAATGGCAATGTTTTTGGCCCTGTTAATGGATCATCTTCAGGGCTTTAACCAGGTCTTTAAGCATCACCCACTGTTAAAGGTGTATTGATTAATTCATTTTATTCTAACCAAATTTCTGAAAGCTCCCTTATTATTTATCAATAAGTCATTAATTGCTTTTAAAACATTTTGAAATGGAAAAGAAGTTACATAATACTATCCTAAAATCAAAATTAAACATAGATACCAACAGGTTGCCGAATTGGTTCCGACATTCAAAAACTTTATATTAAGCTGAAATAATACAACCAAATCTATACTGATTAATGATAAAAAATATTAACTTAGCAAGAGGTTAAAGATTCTTTGGATACATGACAAAAGGTAGAGAATAATTCAAGTTTATAGTAATGACAGGAGACAAGACAAATTACCACTTTTCCTACGAGTTTATTGTTATATTTTTAAATGACGACTCTTCTTAAACAATTAGCAAGATTTACTTTAAACACAAACACTTAATAGACAACTATATAACAGAAATAACAGCTAAAAATGTTATCAGATATACAACTAAACCTCAAATCAAAGGTCTTCTCCAAATTGAATATCCTCTTTTCAAATGTAATGATTCAAATCTAAAACAAGAAAACTGTATACTCTTTACAACAATACAGATCTATCATTCAATGGCCAGATGAACGAGATAATTAATTTAAAACATTAGTCTACTACTCTGGGGATCTGGTATAAAATCTGGGTGAGCAATTCCCCAGGAATTTCTCACAGATATGTCAGGTTGCCTCATTGTTGAACTTAACCAAGCCCATAATTGGTAAGATAAAAGATCCTCTTAGTCCTTTTCAATGTAAATGCCTTGATGCAAAAATATCTTTGGATAACATTGATAATCTGAACAGAAGGAACGACTGTTTTAGAAAAGTATGACAAAATATGTCAATACAAGTTCTCCACTGATTTATTAAAAAACCTGAATATAGAAATAGTGTAGATCAGACCTAGGCAACATGTTGCTTCCGGGGTGCAAGTGACTCTCTGTGGCTTTTTCTATGGCCCACAAAATCCTTAAACATATTTACATCATAAGTAATTAAGAAGAGTTTAGTGTGTCAAGTAAAAACTAGTAAGACTGTAAGTGATAAATTTGAAGATCAGTTATCCTTACTATTTATGTATCCTTTACAAATGTAGAATTTCCTTAATCTGAATTACATAATATACTATTTGGCTAGATTGCACATTAAAACAGCACTGTATGGCCCTTTACTATAGAAAGGTTGCCCACACCTGATGTAAACGACTGTCACAAACAAAATTTCAGAATTATCAACAGAAAGCACAGTTATTAAGCTTCAAGAGAGGGTGAACAAAATCATGCCCCCCCACACAAACATCCATACATACAGAAAAATCCCTAGAATTTTTTTGCATTTCTCAATGTTTCAATGCGTCCTGAGTCCAAAAATGTAAAAATCTTGGTGGATCATTTTTTAACTGATTGCAATACTTCCCTTTCATTATATATAACAGCCAGGAAAGTAAAAACACTAAATTTGTATGTACAATAGTAAAAAAGAGTTGTATTAAATAAACTTTTGATTAAAAAATGTATCCCAAAATCTTTATTAACGGAGTTTTATCTTCTCTAAAATAGTTATAATTCCAGTCAACTCATCGTTATTCATTATATAAGAATTAAAAGTTGCCGGTTAGAAAAATTTACTTCCGACTTTATATTAGCAATAGAAATCTACTGAAAAAAACTAAAGGTAGAAGCTGCCAAAATTTTTTTGTTCCTAAGGTGAATGGCATTTTATATTTGAAAAAACTTCAATTTTGTCTACATAAAAGATTATTTTTCTATAAAATTCTATTTTATAGCTGAATTACAATTCATAAAAATTGAAAGTCAAAATGCTTTATTAAAAAAAAATTTCAATAATACACTATAGTTTTGTAAAGTTTCATCGTATTCTTCTAATTAGCAGAGTTTTTAACTTTTTAAATTTAACCTGTACATCAATAGTTTGTAAAAGATTTTCATTTAGAACACGGATACATTGAGAAGTACGTTGTTAAACAAACATCATAACGTATATGTAAACAAGCATAGCATAATCAACTCATAGTATAGCATAATCAACTCATGTATAGCATAATCAACTCATGTAGGCTGTATGTAACACAATGATAAATATTTTTGTAACTAAACATAGGTACAGTCAGCTAGAAATTTTTTGCTCTATATTATCTTAACATTTCCATTTTCTATGCAGTCAGTTGTTAAACAGTGCATACATCTATAACACAACTCCTAAATGATTTAAATTCATGTTACCTAATTTGCACGTTAAACCATCACAATTTAAAGATTGCCCACTGTATTTTCATCATCTATATATATAACTGAGACGAGTTAATAATAATAATAATAATAATCAGCACAGAGCCCAAATGATTAGGAGTTGAAAGTTGAAATTTGGTACACAGTTAGGGTATGTCACAAGAACGCACACTAAGAAGGGATTTCTCAAAATTCCCCTCCAGGGGGAGAGGGACTGGATTAAGGCTTAACACTTCCATCGACAATGGAAATGTTAAGTAACAATAGAAGCATCAACAATTGAAGTGTTAAGAATGGAAGTGTCAACAATGGAAGTTTTAACAATGGAAATGTTAAGAGAAAGTGACGTGCAAGATTTACAGACGCAGATGCGGTTTTTTGCGTTTTAATAGGGTATGTCACGAGAATATACACTAAGAAGGGATTTTTTGAAATTCCACCAGTTGTTGTGAGGTTATTAACACTCCCCCCTGTGGGGAAGTGTCAACAATGGAAGTGTTAAAAGAAAACAACGGACAAGATTTACAAACGCAGATGCAGTTTTTTCATTTTTGCAGGAAATCAAACATTTTTTAACCCATTTAAAAATTCTCTAATTAGTCTGGAAACAGGGGGACATAATTCTTGCATTCTTTGAGAACGGTAAGATTGACTATAACGTAATAATCTTAATCTTCGCTATCGTTACTTTTTGCCCGAGCAACGCAGGGCCTATCTGCTAGTTTTTTAACAAAATAAATAATAGATTCTGCCTCAATAATAAAAAAAATTAATGTATAGGTTTAACATAAACTGAATTTATTCATGAAGTTATTTTTACACAAAAGTCAACAAATGTATTATACTTTTGTTTCATAATAATGTTATGTTATGATGATATAGTCTGTCACTATTATATTTTTCTTTCAAAAATTATATTTATGATTTCATAATACTTTTCATATATTTCTACCGCTATCATCATATAATATAAGCTGAGTATATTTCTACCATGTTTATAAAACAAAATATATGGACATAATGAAAAAACCAATTAGAAAATGAGAATTTGTATGCTAAATAACTAGACTGGTGGTTTCCAAGTGTTCCAAAACACAGGTAATCCACAAAAAGTTTTTATTGCAAATTTATTCCAATGTACAACAACGAATTACCTTATTCATAGACAATTCCATATTTCTATTTTATTCAAGGCAATCAAGTTTATTACTTTATTGCTTCGTTGTTTCACGAGAATAGCAAACACGGAACTGCTTATCAACTTTCGAATATTTTGATGCTAACATTCATGTAATAAAAAGTATATTAAAGCCTCAGAAAGGTTGAGAACCACTGAACTAGACAAATTTTTAAGTCAAATGCAAGATAAAATCTTCAGAAAGACTATAAATGTTTAATAAAATTAAGATGAAACATCATTATTTAATTAAATTTTGATCACTTTCAAAATAGTACCAAAGAAATTAAATATAAGCTCCCATAATTGATTAAAATCAATATGCGATTCCTTTGTACGGAAATGTGAATAAGGATATAACAAAATAAAGTTTATTCGATGATAATCTCCAATAAAACTTCTATGAATTTACTTTATTGAATAAAACTTCTATGAATTTACTTTATTGATGCCACAACATTCATAACAGCTTCCCAAGTAGTTTAAGACAAGGTCCATCTTCAGAAGAACATGTCAAAAACAAATTTCTTAAACTATGAATTCAAAGCTTTTGAATAGCATTTGAAAGTTTTGAAATAAATTTTTGGTAATACATTCCTGAATATAAATTTCATCTGTCTGAAAGTATTATGAAAAGTTGTTATGAAAGTTATGAATTTGCAACTTTAATAAAATAGTTTTTTTTTGCAAATATGTAAAAACTTACAATTGCTAAAAATTCGATTTTATCTTTCTGTTTAAACTAGAGTCAATAACACAAAGGACTAAGCTCGTTCAGAATTTGATATGGACGCTGAAGATCAATAAGTAGCACTTAGTCTCTGTTTTTGGTTTGTTATCAAGCATGTTACCTATAAAGCAGCTTTAATACACCTGTATAAGCAAACCAACTGATTCCAGCTTTAACAGAAATATAAATCCGAGCATTCATTAATATAAAACTTAGTTTTGTGAACTTTATTTCATTGATATCAAACTACATTAGAAAACCAATTAGCTCAAACTGTCAAAATACATTTGTAAAGCTACCTTTACTACAAAAATAAGCTGAATTAATGAATGCACCTTTAACAATGGTGAAGTTTAAGTAATGCTAGCATCTTCGACCCAGTTAATGGACATCTTCAGGCAGGACAGTTGAAATTGTAATTTCAACTTCAAATGCTCAAAGACTGTCTGTTAATCGGTAAGATGTGAACTCTGAATAAGGGATTAGCCACACCCAGAATTATAGATCTCTGTGTATGAGCAATAAAGTCAACAAAATCATATCTGTACAGGTGACCCTTTGCAAGATATTTGCCTCCAAAGGTCAGTTTTTACCGTCACCAGTTCTACTGCCTATTCTCCAAACTTTGTGGTCAAGGCTTGCTATTGCTTGCCTCAACAGACACTCTGCATATAGTCGTGCACTTCGGTGCTCACACCTCAGCAGCCGCACGGGGCAAGCCTCCACCTCTTAAAACCATATAATATAAAGTACTCCAAGATCAGTCAAGTGGGCTACTCAAAATCAGCATAGTCGCAAGGCTAAAGAGTCAAATGCATCTCCCAATCGTACGAGACCCGGAAGTAGGATATATCTTGCAAAGTGTCACATGTGGTTCCTTCGAATCTTTTGCTCCAAAGGATACGGCATACAGCTCCAATAAGGTGCCAAATATCTCGCTCGGTGGCATAATTGCACCCATTAATCGAAATCAAAAACGTTAACGTTATTTAAACTTCACCCACCGTTAAAAATGCATCGGTTAATCAACGGCTTATTCGTCCCTACAAAAACAAGCATTAAACCCACTAACAAAATCAAGAAGTGTTGTGTAAAACATTCATTTTGGTACGGTGCCAATGTCAAAGTGTGTAGATAGGCATATCAATTACACACAAGTTTAAGTAGAAAGCTTTGGATAATAAATCTTCCCATGGAAATAAATTTAAAGCACCTTCAATTACATAAGCAATTAGGTAAGTTAATGACAGCATTAAATAAAAAAAAAAAACACTTATTCATATTCAAATAGAGATTATAGCCTTTGAAATCACTTACACAGTAAAATGTATTGACTTTTCGGTAGGTGTTACTTTTAGTCACTTGTTTACATGTTTACATATGTGTCATTTACCTAAAAGTAACTCCTACCTTTCATTACGTCCTTGACAATAAAGGTTTTATTTCATTACTAAAAAATCAACAATTAGTTATAATCAGACGTCCATAATCAACGAAACGGTTAATAAATAACAATATATTACTATAAAACCTTAATTTATATTATAAAATAAGTAATTTTACGTAAAAAAGAGATGATTTTATACCTTCCAATTTATTCCCCTCGACGTCCATTTTTATCTTTTCATCATACATTGACCGAATGGCGATGATTTCCCGACTAAAAATAGCCAAAAAATCGAAATGCGTTTTACCAAACGTGAAATTTTTTTAATTTTAATTTTCGTTAAAATAACAATTATTTAAAATATAAATTATNTAATTCATTTAATAGTTTTCTTGTCACCATTGCCAGCTTTGGTATTATTTTTTGATAATACAAAAATATTATAGTAATTTAATTTATAATTTCTTTTTCTTATATTATAATAGTGTATGTGCAAATAATAATTATGTAATCAAATTTATACTGAAATAAATAAATTAGAAGCGAAAATTTCTTTTAAATATGACTTTCAGAATTCCTCTTTTGATAAATATGCCGTCATGTTTAGTCCTGATTTGCTCTAGTCTAGAAAGCTTGCTGTTTCTAATTAAAAATGTATTTTGTTTTATTGCTTTATTTAATAGTATTAAAAGATGAGTATTTTAATATAAATAAACACAATATATAATTATATAATATTTAGTAAATATAAAAGCAGTTGGACTAAATATGGCCGAATGGCGGTCCAATGGAATGCGGCATTTTGCATGGTTTTCAAATTACTCTCTACTATAACAGATACTAGAAATGTTAAATCTCTAGTTCTAAAATAACACAATTACAATACGCATTTAGTCGTTATATTTGTAATATGAATAACAATAGGCTTTATTAAATAGAATTATTTTCATTTTACGTGTCTATTGTTGTTAACCGCTCGGATATCCGGCCGTTAGTGAATATGGGTTATATTGGCTGTCTTAATTTTGTCCATTATAGAGGCCTAACTCTCAATATAATCAGGCCAGCATAAATGAAAAATGAAGGTTTATGATTGAATTTGAATCATTTATAATAAATCATGAACCCGATTCTTCCAGAGCACTAGGCTGATGCCCTAACCTCATCGGCCATTCGGAAGCCATCGAAAATCATTTATAAAATAAAAGAAGAAAAAGGTTTTAGTTATTATATATTTAATTATTTTGTTGTTTTGAATTTTATAAAACTGTTAGAATGTCACTATTAGTTTTATTTGTTTTATTTTCTTCATGATGTAGTTTCTCACTTGTATTAAACCTTTTAAAATGGCTGCCAAAAACACATACCTTTTATTATATGCCTGCTTTTTGGATATTTGAAATCGGAGAAGTTGACCTAACAATGGAATAAATAATGGCACAAACTTTTTTCTATGAAAATCTGGATTGAATTATTTGATTACGGCAACGCGACGCATGGCAATCTACTGAGGGGGATACCTTACGGGAGGACTTTCCAAGAAAAACTGGCCCGCATTTAGGTATTACAAACATGAATAAACCCGTGAACTCTTCGTAGTCAGACTTAGGCGCGAACCCTCTACTAGTGTTCAATGGTTTTATCCACTCGGCAATTAAAAGAACACGTAACCAGAAGTATAGTCGTACATTAAAAAGTGCCAGGACGTAATCGGCGCCCCGAGTTATAATCTCCACTGAATATGGAGGCTCCACTGTCTATGAAGTTTTGTATGGACAAAGCACAATTTTTTGGTGCAATATTTGCAAAACGGCTTAAATGGATATATATATGAAATATACCTACATTTTCGGAATTAGGGCAAAAAACTGTGCAAGAAGTAATTTTCTCAGGGATTTTTTTTGGCCGAACTAGTCTGACCAACGCAGGAAGGCACTACCCTTAGGTGATGGACTAGTTTATTGACTATTGACAGGGGAAAAAGTGCATCATTTAACTCCTCTACCCCTAAGTTATGTTAACCAGAAGCCAGCTGACTCATGCTACACCTAACCCCTATGTAAAGTAGTCCAACGCCTAAGGGGAGTGCCTTCCTGGGTTGGTTATACTGTAAATAGTCTAAAATTCAACCTAGATGTTCATCAAGTACAGGACATATAGGGCTTGGCCCTAGCATGTCCTGACACCACTACATCACTACACCACATACAACTCGCATGCAGATTATGGCACTCAATTTTGTCCTTCCGAATAAATTTACAGCCGAACTGTTTCGATTAAATGAACTATTACTGGATTAGGAAGAAACTTCCAAAGCTTCCATGCATGCCACGAATAAACAAGAACACAATACAAAGACGAGTAAGCATAAAGACACTCGAATAACACCGTTACGAATGACCAGTTGTTTGCATTCTTTTTACAGATTTGGTTGAATTAATAAATTTTAATAGTTATAAAAGATTATCATAATATTAAAAATATTTTAAATGATATATTAACATGTTTAATGTCATTGCTTCTCGTTTTCATCACATAAACTTAGGCTACTGTATTTATATTTGCATATACTGTAGCATAAAAGCCTAGTGCTAGCTGAAAAAAAAACATCAATCACAATTTTTTTCAGCTTCCTTCCTTTAGCCCTTTCTTTAGCCACAATGATTTATTCCTGGCAGTGGAAATGTAGCAAATTTATACATGTATAATCACCGAATGGATAAATCCCTGAACACAGTTTCGGTTACGTGTCCGGGTTGGCCACGCAATAGATTGACCACGCGGTGTTTTCCAGGTTGTCTTCACCTAAATAAGGACCAATTTCCTATAGATAGTCCTACCGAGAGGACTTTCTTTGGCAGAGGAACCTAAGGCATCAACCTACCGCTTTGGATGACCGGAGATCAAATTCGGGAGAGCAATTCTCCAGGAGTTTTTCATGGTGATCATTCCCGAATATGTTGAACCTCGTCCCAACTGCTCGACCTCTTTAATTGTGGGCCTAGCCAAATCCACAATAAATACTTTTTTTCTTTCCGCCCTGTGAGCACTAAGAGGCCCTCTTTTAACAATTCCACTATGGATTTGGTCAGGCCTACAATGCGGCGGCCGTCTCATCCCCCGAAAAATTTCCGGTGGGTCCTTATTATATATTGAACATTATTACATTACAAACATTATTAAATATAATGAATCCAAATGGATAAACGAAATATAGAAAAACAACACCTTCCAGCCAAACATTAGTTTAACACCAAAGCTCTGTTCTTTTCCTGGAGAAAATGTACGGCAATTTGACGCCATCTTTTCAGAAATGTAAAAACTTTAAAAATTTTTAAACAGATGGCGTCACTAAATGTCGCCGGAAAGGTTAAGCAACTCGTCGCTGGAATTTTTTTTTTTTTTTTTTAGTTTGACAATGTCTCACCCCAGGACTTCAGACGAAATGTACTCTCGTTTATTGTGCTTTTAATGGCACAAGGAAAAAGTTATCCAAGTATAACGTCTCTAATAGAAGTTAGGAAAGTTATACTTGGCTAATTTTTGTACCTTTCTTGTCTGTCTCGTTGGAGATAACAGATTCAGCGGAAGTTGTCATGTATATTCATGACAACTTCCGTTCAATCAGTTATCTCAGAAAATATAAGTGACAATTCTAACAAAGAATAGATGCGAATTGCTTTTGTGTTTATTGAATTTATTATTCATATTTTTGATAATTTTTTTTTAATTTTGCTCAATTAAGGCACTAAAAAGACTTGTTTTTTTACCCATCGCAGGTTCTGCAGGCCCATAATGGCAATCAATCGGTGGTGAGGGACGGGTTCTGACACATTCTGGATGAAAAATTCCTAGAGTTGCTTGCCCGAATTCGATCCCGGATCCCCTCTAGATGTTATTCATATATTCATATTTTTACCTATTTCAACTAAATTGGTTGGTTTGATGGGATGTGGTAACGTAACACGTGAGCGAGCTGCCTGTGTCTCCCGGGAAAACTGGCCCCTATTTAGGTGTTAGACACGTGAAAGTTCCATGTGGCTAGCCTGTTGGAAGGGTGAGAACATGCAACCAATTATCAGAAATCAGTGGCTTTTATCTACCCCTTAATGGTTTTATAATGGTTTTGGTTTTCAGTTAGACGTATACACAATGAAACCCGAGTTCGAATTCGCTCGGGAACTTTCTCATATTTTTATATAGAGGGCTAATTTGGGGTGACATTTAACACTCTAGCCGACCTGAACTGCAGAATTTTTTTTAGAGGGAGTCTAGCAGGGCATTAAACTCTGGAGATTAAACAAAATCCTCTCATATAAAACACATTTTGTAAAAACACATAAAGAGTTATTGTTTCTGTATATAAATTGGCCAACCAATTGCATTTGTCACCCCCTCAGATTAAAAAAAAATACCTAAAAAGATGTAAAAAATTAAGTAACCCTGACCTTTTGACCTTTGACAGAAAGAGGATTTGGTCTGGTTTGATAGGATACGGCAACGCAACACATGGGCGATCTCTCAAGGAGAAATACTCCCTCCCTCAGTAGGCCTCATTATCTGTGAGAAACTGATCCCTATTTAGGTGTTGGACACGTGAAGAAAACCCGGAAAACTCCACGTGCCCGTACTAGTGTTTAATTAAGTGTTATCCACTCGGCCATTGATGCGCCAAAGAGTGGTCATGCATTTTTAATTGGTAAGTGCTTACGAATTACATAATAGAATTCCAATTAACTGTTTTAAAATGGGAATAATTTTAATTTAAAAAATTAATTTCTTGAAAATTTTAAAATTAAAAAAAAAATTAATCGCAATTTAGAAGATGATTTACGAGTTATCATCATCCCATTTTACTATTTTTCCCTCCATTAGTGCGGAAAATGAAAAGAGTATTGTCCTCTCTGCCATCTGTATACGCACTTTTGCTCAAGCTAGACTTTCTGCTTAAGTAAAATACAGTAAAAATTTATTAGTATCGAAGTTAACAATCAATTTACAATAATTAATATATATTGTAACGTAAAAGGTGAATGGTATTTTATATATAAAACATGTTAATACAATTATGATATTAGGACAATAAGCAAAATGAAAGGGACTCGGGCGAATCATAATTATAGATCTACTTTGCGTAATTATGTATAAATCTGGGCCCGAAAGAGTAATGAGGCTCCTATTCTTCTAGTATCATCTTCATTTTGTATTTTTAATATAAAAGATTAAAATTTTGAGGCCTCTTTATGTTCGGGGTATACAGAGTGCCCACCAGT